TCTCTAGACTATCATGAGAAAGATTATGTAAAAAACCGTAACGTGATCTACTTATACCCATGTAGACCTATTCTACTAACAATTAGGGTGAATATCTCATAAATGGCGACAATAAATTCATTTAATCAGGCCGAGTCGTCTGTCAGTACAAATTAAGACAATGAACGATGTATAATCAACCACGTCCTCTACGCCCCGTTTGATCAATGCCATGTATCAGATACTGATTAATCAGATTAACTATCATAAAAACACAACTATAGGGATAAGCTAAGCACGATCCGAGAAAGAATTAAGCGTGACGATAAAACTTCTATTTTTGACAAAAAAACCAATGTTTTAAGGAACAGATAACTATCATGGAAGCTGTTTGATAATTATAATGCCGCCCCAGTAGAGGGGGTGATTATTGATTGAGGGACTGAGTAAAATATAGATTGCATTGCGTGGAACACTCGGTTTATTGAATAATAAAGGCTGGTAAGGGGCCATAACGAATTTTTTTTAGATATTTCTTAGGCTACGGCTTCTACATCCATTGACTGAGTGTGGACAGACATAATTGGGTCGGGAGCTGAAAGGACTGAAATAGGAGACCGTCCCCTATTCGTCTACACAGTTAATAGACAACGCTGGAATTTGTCGTGACTAGTATTGCAATGGGAGTATAACTGAGTATGTTACACAGCATCATTATACTAACCAAAGATAGGTAGTTAGAGTATAAGCCAGACATCATAGTCATCGGTGCAGGTATACGAATATACACAGACAACTCGACCGACCAAGTAGTGAGGATGACGAATCAAGGCAGGGATCCAAAGGGACAGCCTTGCCCGCGAGGAGATCGTGGTTATTAGAACACCACAAAAGATTAAGCGAAACCTGCAAATGGTGTCAAGGCCCCTAAATAGATATCCGTTAGAATAATTAAGCAAAATGCACATTGAAAATGCTGATTTATTAAATACCTAGGAAATAAGGATATAGAAAGATTGTAGAGAAATTATAAACTGAAAGATTACTTCGTATTCTTCACCGAGTAGAACGCAGAATGACAGCGCTGAGCAACAACAAAAGAAAGCCTCCATTTACAAAGAAATGGAGCACGGACGCGGAGATCTCGGCGCAACCTCGATTGACGCAATGTTCACGTCCTTTGCCAAAAGAGGGAGTGGTCTGGTACCATTTGGCCTCACTAAAGCTTATCATTAGCGCGTTTAAAATTTCAGGAACACAACGAAAAGAAATACTCGACAGAGTAAAAGATTTGCCGTATAGCACGAAAACTATTTAAATTAAGGCTTGCAGCAGCGATACAAATAATCTAGACCCATGTCACAATAGAAGGCTGGAAGACCACCTGATACTGTCTACAAATTTATAAGCATATGTCTGTTAAAGCGATTTACAATAGAAATGCAGTAACTGTGGGCTGAAGTTTAAACGAATTATTTCGCTTAAGTTACCTATGCATGAATTAGATCAGGGCAGCGGTAACAGAGCAATCTTTGACTCACATACCGAAAACCAAGAAACCATATCAACCACTGCTCGTAAACAAGTAGAATTTAGGCAGGAGGCCTCGCGGGACAGATAAATCAAGACGAATATATGCAGCAGTTTAGACAAGGGGGCACCCGTATTTGCATGTGAAATAAATTTATGGGATTTAGTCAGACAATGGCGCGCTACACGAAGACTCAGTACTTGGGAAAGTAGGATGAAGCACGCAGCCATGCCCAGCATTGACAAGTGATGTGAATGGAGAATGGATAACCACAAATGGCACAAAATGCCTGCATCCATGCCACAGATTAGAAAAGTACAAACAAGAGGTACAACAATTGACATCTACTCAAACAAATCAAATGAGACGTATTAACTCTATTCCGTGATAAAGGACTGGCAGTAGAATTTCCTTAATAAGTAAAGGTGAGATTTCCATTGAATTTCACAGCCTTGTTTTCCCACAATTAGTTATCATCCAGGATGGACTGCAGTTTTGACCTTGCCCACACCTCCAACGTGAGTCGAACCATTGCAGTACAGTTTGTAAACCGTAGAAATTAATTAGTCAGTTTTCATTGAAATTAACAACTTTCCTGTAGCCCATGGGGGCTCTTGACGACGTAGCCGATCGATTGACGCGTCAAGCATAGATTTTACACAGTCGAAACTCGATTTCATCATGTATGAGAACCCTTTCTAGGGAAGCAAGCTTATTTGAGATTGAATGCAAACAGCTCTCATCATACCAGTGAGAAATTATACTACCAGTCCATTATGTGAACACACCTCATATAACTAATTTGCTAGTAATCTTGAAGCCCTACTTACATACGAAAATTACCAAGCTAAAATTGCAGATAAATTTACACGGAAAATTGAAATAAAATTTTTTCTAACTTGGAGATATCAGTTTCTTAAGGTAAATCATGTGGAAATGCGACAATACAAGGTACGAAAAGCGCATTAAAACCTCATTTTATCGATCGAGCATAAAGGCGTCAGCAAAAGTATAGGCATTCCGAGATCCTATAAAACCGGATGGTAGTGTTACACAAGCTTGTACTTGACACACTGTAAGGGTTAACAAAACCAGAGTAAGGAAACTAATACAAGCTAAAACGAATATATTCAGTGTACAGAATAAGCTAGTAAATTAAGATAAGCTAGTTTTCAAATTTTGCAAGGATATCCGTTTCGCGGAAAAGGAAGTAGTCCTAAAATAATAAAAACAAGATTTGATTACCTTGTCTTCAATTATAACTTTGGTTCCACCATACTCAGGAAGGAAGACTTTATCACCTATAGTAACACACAAAGGGACATTTTCCCCAGTCTAAATAATAGAGAATAGACAAATGACAAACCTCATTTTTTACGCCAGGTCCGTGGGCAATAACAGTTGCCTCGAGAACCTTGCCTTTAGACTTCTCAGGTATCATAATACCTCCTTTGGTAACTGCTTCGGCTTGGAGTCTTTCAACCAAAACCCGATCGAATAGGGGAACGAATTTTTTGAAAGCTTTGGCAGCCTGGAAATGTATAAAGAGGAAGAGGTCTAACCATAATGGTGCGGAGAAGATTCGGGAAAGAGCCGATTAGAGAAAGGGAAGAAGCGTGACAAGAGGTGCGTGCAAGGATGTATAGGAAAAACAACCATATAAACACTTATAAATGTAAAAAGCGTTTTAGACTAATTGCTCGACTTTTACTAAAAATAATAATATTGTCGATTTATTTAATAAAGTGGTGCGCTTTCTTAATTTCGAATTAAGTACCATTTTATCACAGACAGAA